TGAATCTCAAAATTTATATCAGAATGTCCTTTTCAGAATTGATATTTCGAACCAACTAGTAAGTATATTAGAAGTTTGTTTCTATAGTTTAAGGATTATTTTTAATTTATTTTTATTTTTTTGACTTAAAAATAAGTGTATATATACAATTTTTATTTTATTTTATAAAATACTACAAAACAACTTAAAAACATATAAAATAAACCAATCCAAACAGGCTCGTGTGTTTTATCTGGTAGGTCCTCTAATTGCCTACTAGCCGGATCTTTTTTTGTAACATAAAATTGCTTTATAATGATTGACCCCCAATGTTCTTGTTTATTTAATGTTGAGGTTTATACAACTCGTTCTTCATTTTGCGGCTCTTTCAATTTCCTTCCCATTCTACTTAATTAGTACTCTAATTTTTGCAACTTTAATTGTATAATAACAATAATAAAGGAGCTTAAAATTAGAGCCGTCAAAATGGGCTTAGTTTATGGGGCCGGCCTAATCCTACCTGTTATTGGGGTAGGGATGGAATAAGATTTTTCAAGCTCATTTAAAATTAGGGCTTACAAGCCCGACCCATATAAGCCCTTGGCCCTTGAGGCTTGATCGGGGCTGGGCCGGGGTTGACCCATGGGCCAAAACTTTTTATGTAAGAGTAATTTACAATAATTTCACTAGTAGATAATCTAATTATTTGAATACACGTTATGTTGTAATATTATAAATCTTCGTATTCAGATAATATCTCAAAATATATCGACTCAAAATTGGGTTAATTTGTTCTCGATACACCCTATCCAAGTAGATTCGCATGTATCTAGGATACATATACAAATCTCGCGCCCTCGTCTCCCTCCTATCTTGCTTGTCACTCTCTTATCTCACTCGCATTTTCAGTATGAGAGATATATGTTAATTACACTAGATTTTTGTTAGTATTATTGAAACAACATCATTGTTTTCATATTTAATTTGAAAATCTTCTCATTTTTTTGATGTTATAGAATTATAAGTTTGAAAAGAAAAAAAAATTAAAAAAGAAAAACAAAAGGGCTAACCTGCCCCAGCCCTCGGCCCTTCTAGGGTTGGGTTGAGCATTTTCAGGCCCTACCTAATGAAGGGCCGTCCCGCCCTAGCCCTTCAAATTCCTTGACCCTCGAGGCTTGGACCCGATGGGGTTGAGCCGGCCCTTTTTGACAGCTCTACTTAAAATGTTAATCAAGTCCAGTAAATCTGATTTATTTCATAATGTCTCGATAGAGAGAGAGAGAAACAGATACACACTTTGTAATTTCAACATTTTGGCTCCACTCTAGGGAGTACCTTCTTCCACTTCTATTTCTAAAACACGATACCAAATATAACCAACTTAAGGTGCTACTACATTATATATAGTAATATAATAATGTAGCTACATGGAGAAAGATACAACAAGTGGACCTAAAATAAATATGTACATTTTTTTATTTTCCATAACACACAAGAAGATAAACTGACTTCCTCCTCATGCATTTTACCCATCCATGGTTGCTTTGATCTTCATTATCATCATCATCAATTTTTGCCCTCACATCATTGAATTATTTACAATAGTCGGTGATGTTTCCTCGTTTATTATTCTTACTTACTAATATAGATTTCACATTCTCAATATGAATTTAAGAAGTTGCCACTTCCAGTCTCCTGCTCAATTCCTTCCTGCAAACACATTGCCATAATCAAATTAACAACGTTCGAGTATTATAAAGTTATTAATTTTTCTGCAATGGTTAGTTACCTCATGAGTTGCCTATCGAATGCCGATGTAGACAACATGCCTCTGTTTTCTTCAGCACGCCTCATAAGGTAATGCATAATCTGCTCTACAGGACCAAATGGCAAATACTTGCTAACTTGAAATCCTGCATTTCTCAGCCCAAATGAAAGACCATCTGCCATACCATATAGCTGAGCAAATTGGAGATTTTGCCTCTCATTTTTTATTCCCAAATCTATAGCTTTGGTTGCAGCAAGTTTTCCTATATATATCACACATTATACGTGTTAGACAATAGCGAACAAATTTATTTATTTATATTTCAACGTAGATATAAATGATGAAAAATAATTACTGTAATAGTTACCTGACTCAATGTTATGAGTGGCGAGAACAACTGCACCAGATCCATTAGCAATCTCTTCAATCATAAACTCCGCACACGAATTGAAGCAAGCGTGTGTTTGCTCAATGCTATCGTGAATCGGAGACTTGAATCCTAAAGTAGAAGCCAATTCCTTTTCACTACACATATAAGCACCCCTCACAAGCTTAAATCCCATTGGAACTCCCATTTTCTCTGCAGCCTTTTTAGCGATAACCATTCGTTCCTTAGCGTCCTTCAAGTAAGCTTGAATTGTTCCGAATATCAAAGGCTGATCATCTTTATGGTACTTAATTGCTGCAGAATACGCAAAGTAATCAATTGCAGGTTGAATTGTTGTGTCTTCCGCATCAATTAGTAAAGGAACTTCATGTTCCAAACATTTCTCGCAAATTTTCCTAAGTCTTTCATGAGCTAATTGAAGATCACGTTCTTCCTCTATCGTTAGAGGCTCTGGTTTGCTAGAAGTGTGATAAACAGGGCTCGATTCGGCAAAAAGTGGAAGTGACTCTTGCTTCCACGGAAGATTGAATGATGGATCTTTCTGTTCCCATCTTAACAAATCACTCATTCTTTTTAGAAGCCTTGGTGTACAAATTGCAGTTATCTTTGCTACCACAAAGCTTGCCTGTTTCACCAAAAAAAATTGAAATTGATAAATCCAAGAATATTGGAAGAATTTGATAATATAAAACAGAATCTTTGAATAAAATATAGACATTCCTTTTCAGAAATATAATAAAGATTAATTTCTTACAGAAGATTCGGGAAGTGATTTGGTTGATTCAATCGTTTGAATAAAGGCCGCCGTACTCTGTTCACAAGATTCATTATCGGTGGCATGTTCCACCCCATAATCAAGCATGGCTTTTAACCCAGAATCAGATAGATTGGTAACGGTCCGTCTAACTTCCGTTAAGTCTTTCCCGGCACAAAAATGTTCATAAAATGTAGTTTTAACAAACCCAAGCATAACCTCCCTAAAAACAGGCATTTCCATAAGTTTAGAATTCATTATCCACATACCCAAATCAACCATGGGATCAATAGCAGCCATTTGTAACGTCATCGATGATCGAATCAGTTTCGTGGTCGGAACGCCGTAGAATAGCTCCTTAACATCATCGAAATTGATAATGTTATTAGTATTATGATGGTCGTGGTGGTGATGGAGGGTTGTGTTAATCTGTGGTGCGGGTTCCACCAAATTTGGTACGGCGTTAAAATCGCCAGTGAAATTTAACGGTGGGACGGCGGAAAGAGGTGACGGAGCTGAGTTTAAACGGCGGACATGAAATCCGAGGTTCTTAAGGAGTTTCGGACAAAAAACTTTATTGGCCATGCAACGGTGGGCGGCGGAAGAGAAATTTTTTTGTGTGTTTATAATTTTTTTATTCTCTCTCAAATGAATATGTAAAGTTTGTGAGAAATGTATGGTATTTATAGAGGAAGTTTGTTTTTTATTTTGTTAAAGTGATAACTTAAATAACGCAATAATTAAATCATGCTGAGTAGATGCTGTGTTGTTACTGACGATGTATTACTGTAGATGTTCAGTACCACCATGTGTATTTCACCGTTAAATTTCTGTATCTTAGCTGTTTTTTTGTTGTTCCACTTGTCTTGGATACCGTCTTTTTTGTACCTCAAATTTGTTACTATAAATTATACTAGTAATTAATATATCCTACTTTCTTGGACACTTCCTGACCACTTCGGTCTACAACTTGGTCTTTCGCTTTGCGGCTTTTTGACCCTACCAATTTGAATTATTTTCTTAAACCCACTTGTTTGAAAATTATTTTTCTTGCTTTTGATAGAATTTTAATATCCATTTTTACTAGTCAAATAATATATATTTGTAAGACTTAAATTGTTTTTATTCAATAATTGAGGTACAGCAGGAATACATTAAAAAAAAGTTGTGGGCATAAAGGAATCTGAATCTCCGCCTTCAAAATCATGAGATTCGGTGTAAGGACTTTTCTTATGGCGTGCTCCGGTTGAGGAATCTTTATGTCATAATCTAACGCCAAGATTCTTGGCAAGTGGTAAAACCTATCACGTGAGTGCAATTACTGACCGACTTGAAAATTTCATTGTTTAGGTAGGCCACATTGATTTGTGAAACCCCATGAAAGAAGTTGCTAGAAATGTTGACCATGAAGGAAAACACTAGAAGTGAACTCTTTTGTTTGTTTTTCTATCCGGTGTTCATACGATGTTTTTCGATTTGCAAGGGTAAAGTGTTCCCATCATGACTCCGTACACATAAAAATTCAAATTCGAGATTTACCACACCATCACAATCCTTATCGGTCACCAAAAGTAAACTTATTTTGTTGGAGATGCAATAACCCATCTACCTTAAAATGAATAAAATTTCCTATACATCATTCTTTTCCAATTATATTTATAAGCTAACATCATACTGAGTATGTACTAAAAAATAATCTGATTTTCACTATGTTAATAGTTGAAACTAAATAAATCCTATTCACTATAACATCGAGTTTTAAGTAACTTTGATTTAATCTGCCATATTTTCACATGGAGCAGTAAATAAAGGTACAATTTTCATCATTTCGGCAACTTTAATTTGTATTATGAAAAAACAAATTACAATAGTTGGATTAAACTTCCATACTAGTACAAGAAAGAGATAAAGAAATAGTGGAAATTTTTTGTTGCGACAATTACTAACAATTTTTACGTCTTTGACAATTAGACCATCGTTGCTTGTCACGTCTCTAACAAGGCTTCGATCTTAAAAATTGCTTCCAATTAAATTCGTGTTTGCAATTCGCTGCCAGATCAATGAACTATTTACAGTAATTGCTGACATCGTATCAATTGGAGCGTCAATTGCTCTGTTACAAGTTCGATTTATTCGTAGCAATACTAGTTATATCTTATATACACTTCCAATAGTTCTCAAGATTCATGAAGTTGCCACATCAAATCTCCTGATTAATTCCTTCCTGCAAACAATAAATAATATACAAAATTAATAAAAATATTTGAGTTTAAACTTCTCTGTTTTTTGTTTACGAAATTATTAAATGATGTTTAATTACCTCATGAGTTGTCTATCGAAGGCAGATGTAGACAAAAGACCTCTGTTTTCTTCAGCTCTTCTAATAAGGTAAGGCATAACTTGTTCTACAGGTCCAAATGGTAAATATTTGCTCACTTGAAATCCTGCATTTCTCAGCCCAAATGAAAGCCCTTCTGCCATACCATATAGCTGAGCAAATTGGAGCTTTTTACCATCCTTTCTAATCCCTAAATCTATCGCCTTGGATGCAGCAAGTTTTCCTATTTATCAAAAGTTCAAAACATCTAATGAGTAATTCGTTATGCATATTCAAATATAATTAAGTGACATATTGAATACTATTATAATTAAGTAAATAAAAGTGTACTATCACGATATTTACCTGACTCAATGTTATGAGTTGCAAGAACAACAGCTCCTGAACCATTAGCGATTTCATCAAGCATAAATTCAGCACAAGAATTGTAACAATTATGTGTTTGTTGAATGCTATCGTGAATCGGAGATTTGAATCCTAAACTTGAAGCCAATTCATTTTCACTTGACATATAAGCACCTCTTACAAGCTTAAATCCCATAGGAACTCCAATTTTCTCTGCTGCCTTTTTTGCGATGATCATACGTTCCTTGGAGTCTTTTAAGTAAGCTTGAATTGTTCCGAATATCAAAGGATGATCGTCTTTGTGATACTTAATTGCTGCTGAATATGCAAAGTAATCAATTGCGGGTTGAATAGCTGTATCTTCAGCATCAATTAGTAACTCAACATCAAGTTCCAAGCATTTCTTGCAAATTTTCTCAAGTCTATCATGAGCTAATTGTAGATCACGCTCTTCATCGACCGTTAGAGGTTCTGGTCTTTTCAACGTGTGATAAAAAGGACTCGATTTGGCGAAAAGTGGAAGCGTCTTTTGCTTCCATGGGAGATTCAATGAAGGATCTTTTTGTTCCCATCTAAGCAAATCACTCATTCTTTTGAGCAGCTTTGGTGTACAAATTGCAGTTATCTTTACTACCACAAAACTGACCTGTTTCATCACAATAAACACTAAATAGTATGAAAACAAATCTGTTTATTGTTAATGAGGTACTAAAAAAATTGATTCGACATGTAAAGAAATCAGGCTGGTTTATTATTACAAAAATATACAAAATTTTATGACAAACTAAAACAGGACACATCAAAAATTTTGATCATCAAGCAACAAAAAAAAGTCTATTATTATGATTTTGATTTTGGCTCTGTTATCTATTCATGAAGTTATTTTTTTATTTTATTCCAATTATTTTTTAAAAACATTTAAACAGTTTTTAGTACGAAAAAGTAAATCTTTATGTCTTTTGTTGAAAAGTCATAAAGAAGAATTTAATTGTGTTAGGTATCAGTTATTCTAAGAGGAATATACGTTACTTAAGGAAAAAGTTAAATAAGAATAAAAATGTGTATTGTATTTAAATTCCACGCAATTCACACGTTCTGTTGCGTCAGCCGTCATCTATTGCAATTTGTTGAATTATCTTATTTTGTGGAAACTAATCCAATATTCCAAAAATACTTGGGACTTTAGAATTTTCAAATAGAATTAGTTCGATTTAAAACTAGAAATAAATAATAAAAAAATAATAATAAAGATTTGTAGGAATTTGATCTTACAGATGAGGATGGAAGAGACTTGGCCAATTCGGCTGTTTGAAGAAAAACTTTCATACTCTGATCACAAGACTCATTCTCCGTGGCATGTTCCACACCATAATCAAGCATGCCTTTTAAACCAACGTTAGACAACTTACTAACCGTCTTTCGTACTTCAATCAAGTCTTTTCCAGCACAAAAATGTTCATAGAATGTACTTTTAACAAACCCTAGTATTACCTCCTTGAATATTGGCATATGCATGAATTTCGAATTCATTACCCACACACCTAGGTCAACCATCGACTCGATGGACGCCATTTGAAGTGTCAACGATGATCTAATCAACTTCAAGGTCGATACACCCGTAAACAACTCCTTCACATCATCAAAATTGATCACTTTTTTCTCAGGATCGGCTAATATTTGGTCCGTAGGTTGTAACGTCGGTGTTGTTACAGTAGAACCATAGTTGCCGGTGAAATTCATCGGTGGGACAACCGGAGCCGTGTTTAGACATCGAGCGAATCGTCGGAGGTCATGAAAAACCTTTGGACATACAACTTTGTTTGCCATGTAATTAATGAATTTTTTTGCTTGTCTCTAAATTCTAATAAAGTATGTGTAACGTTTGAAATGTTGCATGATATTTATAGAGTTTCATTAGTCAAAGTCAAGTTTGGTTTGGAAATAGTACTTTTTACTTTTCCTTTTCTTTATAGAAAAAAAATAGTAATGCAATTTTCTTTTTCTATTTTTCCTTTTATATTTCCAAGGTTTAATGAATTTTCCTTTTCTTAATTTTTTTTTGATATCCTGATCCCTTCAAACATGTGATTCAGATTCTACGGCGATTGAATTTCAATAAGAGGGAATGTAGGGAAACACACTTGCGAAAATAATTACTAGTACTATAAGAATAATCGTACGTTGTTTCCACGCGCGGTCAGTGCAAGTGGAATTTGGTTTGCTAAATAAATAGTTGGATACAGCCGTCACTGTGTTCAGCATGGCATTAGCGTCATTCCCAGTGTAGTTAGAAAAAGGATAAAATTTGTACAATCAGCAGTGTGTCGGATTGGTCCCACTTCCACGTGGAATAATGTAATTTTTTTCTTTTTCCTTTTTTAGAAAAATATTATTGTTTTTCCCTTTCATATTTACTTTGTTATTTATTTCCTTACGTGGGTTGGGTGAAATTTGAGTCCCTCTAATATTGTATATTGGTATTTACTGGATAACTAATTAAAAGGCTAATATTTAGAAAGAAACATTACACTAATCAAAGAAAAGATTCTTCCTTTAAATAGTGCGGGATATTGATGGGTTGGAAGTAAATTTATGCATGCCTAGGTAAATGATATTTTAAAAAGTTTTATTCATCTCATAATAAAACGGTACACATATAAAAATCTTTTATTTGGACAAAATTATGGCAGTTTTCATTTTTAAATTTGAGATTATTTTTTTCTGATTGAATTGTATAGATATGACTGTCATAATAAAATATAACAAATTCTCCATTCATGCAGGCTCCAGCAATCATGAGTACAAACTTTATAAAACAGAAGTGGCCAAACAATTTCTTTTAATTCCTGAAGTGGAGAGTGTTGCTTACTAAAAATGTAACTGAACAACATGTTGCGTTTTATCCGTTTTATCTTGGAAGAATTAATCTTCAACTTTGGGTACTTGAGTGGATTAAATTTCTTAAGGACACACAGTGACTTCTGTGCACTCGGATAATTCTTTTCTTTTTCTTCTCATCTTAATTGTTTTATGATTTGCTAATCTGAATACAGGAGATAACACATTTACACCTTTATATCATATAATAAAAACTTTCTTAATAATGTTGAAGTTTTCCCGTACTATTGCTTCTTAATTGTTTAATAAATTTTTAGAGTTAAAATTAATTATATTTACTGGATGCATACATTGCATCGAATGTACACTTTCTTTGTACAAACAAATCTTTTACGTCTCAAAATGCATTATTGCTTTATGGAATCAAATTTTCCATATCGTAAAATATGAAGTTGATAGTGTTTGTTCAACTTTGAATATTAGTATACAGCTCATTTACTATTTTTTTGGAAAAAAAAACTCTGATGAGGAAAGACTTCATTTTGTACGTATTTCCAGATTTGCTCTTTCTTTAGCAATCTTGGCCACAACTACTTGTGAATTTGGTGAGATATGAATCCCTTAAATTGTTCTACTATTGAAATTTGGACCACTAATCATATGCATAAAATAGTTATAACCAATCACTAATCAAAGGAAATGACCTTTCTTAAAATAGCGCGATAATGATTACTACGTAGTACATTGAACCTAATAACCTAATTAATGGTATTTTAAAATTAAATTTAACTATTAGAACTCTAATTAGTTTGAAAAAATAATTATTTAATGATAATAATAAATTAAAAAATATTTAATTCTCTCTTGATTTACTAAGGTAAATACGTAAAATGAAAAGTTGTATATTTGATAAATAAAAAGGAAATGGAGGGAGTACTAGATAAACGCTAGTAGACCTTATTACATCCTTTCATATATTTCCTAAAACATTTCAAAATTTAATTTTACTTTTAATTAGTATATTCGAAGAGAAGTGTTATATATTAGAAAACGCTAGATCAATTGTTGGTGAGAGAATTAATCCTTATAATTAGCTATTCTTTTTTATCATTTTTAATCTTGTAATTAATCTTGCGTTCTCCTTCTACGAGTAATTAAACAAGTGTTATATGTAAGTTTTATAAACCTTCTTTATGAAAATTGCGTTTATACAAAAGCAAGTACCTAAATTAGAACGTTAACTAAATTTATTGCAAAAATGAATTGTTTTTTTTCTCTATCCAGCCATATATCAAAGTGAAACTCTTAATTAACCTTCTTCTGTTTCCTTAATCTGATAGTTAATGTAATTCAACGTCTAAGTTACTACTTACACGCTAAAACCAAAAGTTCAATACTAGTTAACAACAACACATGACTTAATTAAATTAATGTTGTCGGCAAACAGATACACCGACTTCTCAAAGCTGTCTTCGTTCAATATAATTATCTAAAGATAAGATATCCTTAATTAAAATAATATAACAACTACATTTTAAAGAAGAAATGGTGGAAACACGTCAGTAATTAGCAAAAAAAAAAATCGAAAAAAATTATATATATCGTTGGCAGAATATCCATATTTGAGGAAAACCATATACCGATCGAGTTTCCTAGCTAAAGTTGTCTACTTGTCTTGGTTAAATTTTTCAAAGTTGAGATTCTTTTTAATAAAAACAGATTCTTACATTTCTAGAAAAAATATGAAAAGTTAATGAAAACGTCAGTAATTATCAAAAAAGAATATTTCGAGTAGGAAATTAATAAAATGAAAATTAGTTTAAAAGGATTTGATTCTAAAAAGTACTAGTATTGTATATACTTTTTCATGTGAATTTTGTTCTCATCCAAATTCTAGTCGCCGTTTTAAATGTGACATATGGAGAAACATTAATCCCCTGTTTTAATTTATTTGAAAAGTCGATCGGTGAGAGTAATGTTTTCAACGTTCAAAGGCTATATGATAAGATTAATCTCAAGAAGCAAGTTATCGATCGGGACTGTTGTGTTGACTTGTATATACTTCTTCGTTTACTTTTATTCGTTAAATATTTTAGTTTCATTTCTATTTTTACTTGTCATGTTTGATAATACAGAATCATTTTTTCTTTCTTTCTATTATATATACCCTCAATTTATTCATATTGAATTATGGTATTTGAAAAATATAGTGAGTATATGTATTTGAGATCCTATCAATTAATAGGTGAAATGGTAAATTCACTATACTAATTCTTCTTTTCTTAATATATGTGTCAAATCAAAATTTGACAAGTAAATCGGTATGAAGGGAATACTTAACATTTTAACTTAATATTCCCTCCAAAAAAATTTAACAAGTAAATTTTGTTTCACTAAAGTCAGTTTGACTAATCTTCAATGCTACATTAAATTAGATTAATTTAATATTGTAAATCCATATTTTAGAAAGTAAAAATCTATATGACAATATTACAAGCTCCAATTCTTCTAAGTTCTCATATTAATATGATGAAAATTTACATTTTAAAATTAATCAAAATTCATACCATTTGACTTTCAAAAATCAAAACATAACAAGTAAAAATGAATAGAGGGAGTAAGATCCGTAACCATATGATTAGACAAATTAATTAATGAAGCCCATCCTGTTAAACAACAATTAATTGTATATAGGAGGTTTGAGGATACATCTAATTTTCCTCAAAGGACAAGTCTTTTAAAAACATCCAATGTATGGTGTATTTTAAAACGTGTACAGATAGAAGTATTTGCTTCATTACGATTAATATGCAATATATAAGTGCACAAAATCTCCTCACTTGCCAAAGGAAAGAAAACTATATATGGACAATGCCGTATGATGTGAAATAATTAAACATATCTTTGTTATATCCTTCCAATAATAGATTATGAAAGAAGAGCCTAATTAATTAGTAGCAACTTGCAAAAAAACAATTACTAGCAACTAGCAAGAAGTGTAAATGCATATCTTAATCTCGTTAACCGTCTTTATAGCCGTCAAATATTAGATTATGATTTATTTGGGGGGGAAGCCTAATTAATTTGCAACTAGCAAGAAGTGGAATCACATATCTTAATCACCCCACCATTCACCTTACTTCTAATAAAGCAAGTGTATCATAGACAACTTCTTAAATTTCCTGAGTATGAGAAGTCTTTAATCTATATTTTTCATAATCCTCTTTAACTTTTTTTTATCTGCTAGGTGTCCGAAATCCACATTTGAGATCGATTGGATTCGAATTGTACCCTATAGGCTCATTTTGAAATGACGTTACCGACAAAAAAGAAATTCTACAGGCTCGAACCATGCATTCATCAAAGTACTCTACCTTTAATAAAAGAAGAGTGAAAATATGAATGTTTAGGCATTTTTCTAGGGAATAAAAAGGAAATGTGAAAATCATATTAGTGTTTGGACATTATTTTCTGAATTAAAAAGAGATGATTCCGTTATAGGGTGGTTTGGATTTTATTTGGTACACGTTCTAAGTTAGTGTTTTAAATTCTTTTCATAATTAAACTTGTCATTCATTTTTTTCAAAAATAATACGAAACTCGATAAATAATCATTTACGTTAGCTTCGCAAATGAAGCGATTTTGGGGAGGAAAAAAAGAAGAGGATGACTTAGATGTCCCAACCACTCATTAAATTGATTTGCCCGTATATGACAAATTCATTTATACATAGTAAATTTTTTCTCGAAAAAAAATTTGGGCAAGGGAAATTCGGTAAGAGATTACAAAAGTGGACAATCAAATTCTCACTAACAACTACTAAGATTTCTCACCTATTAAAATTTGAGAATTTAGATTTGACTGTGTTTTTAAAAAACTTATACACCAATTTTTATTTTTATTAAAAACCAAACTTTATCTCCAAACTTTAACACTTTACTTAGTATTAAAATTGTAAAATTTTAACTTTATAATTGGTAACCCTCCATAAACCCAGTCTGTCCCATCAGACTCACTTAATGGGTTATGGTTTGTGATGGACCTTTCTACTTAAGCCCATCGAATCAAATTGGGCTCAAATTTGTCTGGATTAGAACC